TGATCTTTTTGTTTGTGCACTATATTTTTCATATTTACAAATTTATTTTGAGATAACAAACGATTATTTTTGTTTTTCCCTAGACAAAACTAAAAAACAATGTCGAGGACGATAGAATCGCCACGTTAATATCGATGTTATGAAACACCAAATGTTTTTTTAGTGATAAATCGATATTTTTCGCAAAACAGTTTGATTCGAACACGATTTCTCCGAGATTTAGGACGAAATATGATTTTGGAGTCTACTTCAATAATTAACTAATAACATTAACAACAAAGTTTGTTGATACAACCTTAAAAGTTTTCCATAAAGGCGAATTTTCTTAATTTTTCATTAATGATAAATCAAAATTGAATTAAACTTTGCAAGTTTCTTTTTTAGTATGCTCTACACTTACTCAATTCCGAAACAGAAAAAAAATCGCAAATGTTTTACAGAGAGTTTTGCAACTACATCTAAGTTGAAAAGGGAAACAAAACAAAAGAATAGAACTAAAAGATACAATAAAAATTGTTTTTTTCTGTATTTTACAGTTTTTTACTAACTCTCTTTTTTGAGAGTCTACGGATTGAATTATTACGTTACCTCGTGTTAAAATGAGTTACGATATGCAAAATTACCACTGATTAAATAACATTTTTTAATTAAATTTCATTTATCTTAAGATTAATTTTTTTACACCAAATGTTGGAAGTGGATCTTAAAAACACTTGAGTTTTTTTATGGTTTCAAAAATCAGTTAAAACCATTGTCGCAGTTTCTTAACTCTTGGTATTTGTTCTACGTAAATAAATGACAAAGTGATCCCAAAAATAAAAGTAGTCAAGTGGATTACACTCCGGAGATCGAAGCAGCCAAACTACTTGTCCCCTTCTATCAATCGACCTGTCATGTGTCATGATATCGTTTATCTATCTATTTTCGGTATTCTGATATGTGTTGGGCCACCATTATGCGCGAATCATCCTTTCTGGCGTACACTTATTGGTATATTTTCTAGTAGAACGTGAATAAGTTTTTTAGAAGTCTTCGTTCAATGTACAATATAGGGTTTAATAGGGGAAGTGGAAATAAAGTTCGTATAGGCAACTTGCAGGAAAATTTAATTTTAGAACTGGATACATTTGTAGTATAGGTATAACCGACAACAACAGTGGCAAAAAATAATCATTTCTTTAATGCTCTAATTAATTAGACATGTTTAAAATTGTCAAAATATTAATTTTGTCGCCTGATCAAGAACGCAATGTGGCGTCATTTAGTGCAAACCATAGCACAACTTTAAATGGAACAACCTCATTCTACATAAGAAGATTTGACAGTGTCCCCAAAAGATTTTTTTTCTTGGAAACCGGTAGCTTCATTTACTGCAACGTGCGAAGCAAGCGTTTACTCCCTGCTAAAATCAGCCCTGGAAGGTAGTATCACCGAAACATCCTGTATATAACAAATTTTATAGAATGATACTGCAAAAATTTCTTTTCAATTATTTAAATATCACGTTTCAGTAAATTTCAATTGAATATTTGCTAATCCGTTTCCAATCTGCTGTTGCCTAAAATGGAACGCGTATTTCTCGTTTCATAAGGCGAATTAATACACGCGTTTGGCTCGACGGATTCAGTATTAGTCCAAGAGAATTAAGCTCAAAACCTTCCAGATATGGCTATTGCTTGACGTAGATTAGATATTAGTAAAAATCGGTCGAAAATAATATATACAATGGAAATATAACATTGCGCCATTGCAGAAAAAAATAATAACTGCAAAAATACTCAAAAATGACGTGTTTTTTCTAATATTTTCCAATATAACTTCTTAAATATGCAGTTTACAGAAAAAACTATTACTGATGAAATTGTTTGTTATGAAATTTGCTACAAGATAGAAGATAGAATTGTTTTGATACCTGCACATATCATATTTTTGTTGTTAAATTACCAAAACAACGTAAGAAAGTTCAAACGTTCAAATCGGTCTTATAAGTTCCGAGATATAGAGTGTCAAAGTCAACAAGCGCTTGCTGCAAAACTATACTTAATGCAACAACAATAAAAATTGAATTTGGTAGGTTTTTTCAAGAACTTTCCATATGTGTTTTCATAAATGTGATCGCACGTGTGCTTTTTTTATGAAAATTCAATGAATATCACCAAGCCGACCATTTGTGCCGCAAAACCGAGGGGAGGGGATGAATTATAGAAGTTGAAATCGCGCATTCAAAAAAAGCGCGCGCGCTTCTGCGTTCAATATCTCGGCTTCTATGGCTCCGATTTTGATGATTTTTTTTTAATCGATATAGTAAAATGAGAGGAATTCAATTATCAAGATTAAAATATTATAAAGCCCTTTTCTGTCTATTACGACTACTTAAAATTTCTCACATTTCATTGTTATACTATATACTCATGTAAACAATAATATCCATGGTAGGATATAGGTACATTATCCACTGTTAATAGGTATTAGTTTTAATAATTACGTGGTAATAATGTTTAAATAAAATATTGAAATTTTTATTTAATATGTAATTTATTTATTGTATGCATAGAATATAGAAAAAGATATAGATACAAATAATTATTTATTTATGTTTATAAAACGTGTTTATTATATTTTCATAATCATCGTATTATTAAAGTTTTTCACTTTTTTACATCATCATTGCTGTAATATCGTTTTCCATTATTTTCAAATCGGTGTTTAACTAATTGTAAGTAGGTACCACTGTCAGATTAACAGCAAATGATGACTTATGGTTGGTTATGGTTGGTTAATTTGATCTTTTAAATTTGCTAGCAATTTCATAGCCATTCTCGCAAGAAATTGGATCATTTTATTTATCACAAAAACCTTCAAAAACAGAAAAATTAAAAGATAGGTATATGGAGGTGTAATATGGATAGATATGGAGTCAATTTTTACAACAGATTTTGATTAAATATACAGGGTGTCCCATTTAGAAAAACCAAGTTTTGGCGATTCGGTCAATCAAATTCGACAATAAATATGAAATTGAAATAGGTTGAAGACCATTAGGCCATTAGAGATGGATATAGGGAAGCTTTATAAAAGTCCCCTATAATTACGAGTAGAATCCAAATATGCAAAAATATACAGGATGTTCCATTTATAATAGGCTAATAGGTGGCGACTACCGGTATAACCGGAAGTACTACAACAATGGCATTATTTTATCTCTTTTTAAATTAAACTTCCAAAACCACCAGGTCGCTTTTCAAAATTCAAATCGAAGTAGTCTCCGAAATATTCTAATGGGCCGTCACCGTATGACAGCCTGTAGAAGAAAATTTTGAGAGCAAAAACAGCAACTATGCTATAAAAAAGAGGAACACTTTAATAATACGTTTTATAAATATCAAATAATTATTTGTATCTGCATTTTTTTCTATATTATATGTATACAATAAATAAATTACATATTAAATAAAAATTTTAAGATTTTAAACATTATTACGAAATATTAAAACTAATACCTATTAACAATGGACTATGTATATCTACCATCGATTTTATTATTTACATGAATATACAGCAACAATGAAATGTGTGAAATTTTAAGTAGTCGTAATAGGCTGATAAGGCTTTATAATATTTTAATGAAATCTTGATAATTGAATTCCTCTCATTTTGCTATATTGATTTTAAAAAAATCATCAAAATCGGAGCCGTAGAAGCCGAGATATGCTACGCCGCAGAGGGCACGCTCTTTTTGAACTCGCGATTTCAATTTCTATCATTCATCCTGTCCCCCCGGTTTTGCGGCTCAAATGGTCGGCTTGGCGATATTCATTGAATTTTCATATAAAAAGCACACGTGCGATAATATTTATAAAAGCACATACGAAAAGTTCTTAAAAACCTACCAAATTCATATTTTGTTGTTGTTACATTATGCATAGTTTTGCAGCTAACGCTTGTTGACTTTGACAGTCGATATCTCGGAACTTAAACGACCAATTTGAACGTTCTTTTTTTCAAGTTAAGCGTCTTTCAGAGAACAGTTTTTTAGTATTTTGGTATATTTTTCAACCCACAAAACCGCTTTACGAAAGTATTTTGTTTATAAAGTCAAAATTTTACGAACTTTTAAATTCGCTCCAAAAATTATTCAAAAAAAGAAAATTGATATATAACGATTCTATATGATTGTTAAGGGGGCCAAGTATGTGTAAAAAAATCAGCGCCAATTAAAATGCCTAACTTTAACCCCAGCACTCACGTAAAAAAATAACGACATTTCGCGCTGAAATTTAGTAACAAATTGTCTCATACCAATACTATCAGACCGATTTGGATCGGGTTTTGGAATTTCGTTTTATAATCGTTTAAAGTACTTACATCTATATTTATAGTAGAATTGGACAATTTCTTGCCTGTCAGTTTGACACTTCCAAATTACCTCGATTTTAATCACTTTATGTTGTTTTGGCTATTTAGCAACAAAAATATGATATGCGCAGGTATCAAAACAATTCCATCTTGTAGCAAATTCCATAACAAACAATTTCACCAGTAATAGTTTTTTCTGTAAATTGCATATTTAAGAAGTTATGTCGTAAAATGTTAGAAAAAACACGTCATTTTTAAGTATTTTTGCAGTTTTTAATTTTTTCTGCAAATAGCACAACATTTTTTCTTGGCGCAATGTTATATTTTCATTGTATATATTATTTTCGACCGATTTTTACTAATATCCAAATTACGTCAAGCAACAGCCATGACAATGTGTAATTCTCCTGGACTATATGTCCCGCTGGCGTTTCTTGGACAATATAAGGTCAAAAAACCAGAGTCTCGCCTTTTCAGTGACGCAACGGTTGCAGAAATCACGCCAAGTTCATTGGAGGCAATATATTTAGATTGTAGTCGATTTCTATCCGGAGATATGCATAACAAATAGCTATTTTTATACGTGATCTACTTCTAAAGTCGTACTATTGAATAAAGGTACTTAAAAAAGTGGTGTTTCTTACCTTCGTCCTCATTTAGATCGCTGAATTTTATGCCGCCGCTGAAAAATAAAAAATCTTGTAAATTTGTGCGTAATACAAACAAATAAGTATGCAAAGTTATGATTAAAATTAACTTTTTCCTGTTGATATTTTAACGACCAATATCAAAATAAGAGAGCTACATTTTTACCCTTAAAAGGATAAAAATTGGATTTTATTTCCCTACAGTTATTAATAAAATGGAAATTGGAAATAAAAACCGAATACTAAATTTTTTGAAAACATTCGACTTTCCAATCGTATCTGCCATAATTTTTTTTTGTAAACGAAATTATCTGATTGGTAAGTGTTGATTAAACTTGAGAACGCGGAAATGTTAGATAAAATGTCTAATAGTCTCAGAGTAATAAACAGCTCCAAAAAGAGCATTCGAGGAAAATTGGAATATATAAAGGTTAGTGTGTTGTTAGACTCGATTTGTTATATCCTGAAATTAATATTTAAATAATTTATTAAGGAATAACTATAAAATACTAATAATGGATAGATAATATTGAAAAAAAAAAAAGTTGAATAAATTGGATGGTGATGGAAGGAAACATAATAATTCTAAATGTTTTTTAAGTAACGTCTATACAGAGGTATTCCAATATTTGTGTTTAAAAACTATTATTTCACATCTTCAATTTAAATAGAATAGAAAAACAAGCTGAAGGGGTATTGTGAAACCAAAATCAACTAATGTAGGTGGTACATATTTTGCTTTGTAACTTGCGAGATGAGATATGATAAGATCAGATATATGGAACATATAAATTATAAGGTCATTATAAATTAATGTAGTTAAAATACTATTACATTTTTGCTGAGCAACTTTAGCCATAAGTTTTTGGACTTTCGCGGCAACCGCTAGAGTTGTCATTTTTTAATGCCTAATGACTATAATTGAATCCGACGTGACCATATCTGAAAATTATAATAAATTCTTGAAAGTATGTGTTTTGCAAAAATTTGTGCCAACAAATGTTGGCAACATTAGTTTGTCAAAAACACTTCACTGCTTGAATTAAGAAAAATCTGAAGGGCACATAAATTTAGAATAATTTATAATTTCTTATTAAAAATATTTTGCACACTCCACTTTACTGCAAAAGCATTGTGATCTGACGTAATTCACTTAAAATACCCTTAATATGTGTTGTTATTACCCAGGCACTGAAATTAACTTCAAAGCCGAGGATTAAAAATAATGAGTTTTAAACATACCTGAGCAGAACAGAGGCGGTTTCAGGTACTCGGAAAACCTGTAAACAAGGAGTTAGTGCCAGAATATGTTTCCACCCCAACCCCAAACTCGGGGTTCGACATACTTAATTACTTTTCATGTAATAAATATTTTCCTCACCTTCCATCCTAAGTTTTCGAAGAACGTGCATAACCGGGACTGCCCCGTGGTTTTTCCACCGCACGGGCCTGCAAAAAGGTCCTTTATTAAAATAATTGTCGACCACGTGAGGTTTGAGATAAAATCGATAGACACGGGGCTTGTGCGAAGTTAGTGAAAACACTTACCACCCGTAAGAACCAGCTTGTAGAGCTTATAATTGCCACTAGTTTTTTCCATTTCTTTTGCCGGAGGAAATGAGCACTTATAAAATAAAAACGCAATAAACCAGGTTAGGATTTAAAAAATATATGTAGAAGGACTACCCGAAATACTTAATTTAACAACGAAAATTTAAGGAATAAAAATAAATTTGAATGTACTAGGACAAAGTAACGGGGCACATGATTAAAGTTTACTATGTGAGGTTTTCATTTTTAAAGTTTCGCGACTTGGGCGACGTACACCACACCGCACGCGGCGGAAGAAGTTTGTTCAAGACAGGCCAACAAAAAGTATCAGCTATTTACAAAAATCATTTGCTCGCCACAGGTGGTAACTTTACAATTACGATGTTGGCAACTTGATACTTGATCACAAAGCTTCGCCATGCATCGCCAACTGTTGGTTTTATTCTTCCTTCTTCTTCTTTTTTTTGGCCTTCACCCAGCGGGTATTTAGCCAGCTGTTGGTTATATAAGAATGTCATAAGTTTTCAGAATTTATTGTTACATATCGAAACTGGAAAAATGGTACATATATTATAAAAATCAAAAAGTGAAAATTCTTATTGAATGGGTTTAAATCTTAGACTTTAGAGCATATACTACTGGAGGCAGCGTCTCTCAGTGGCCGAGAGTGTAGCGGAGGTTTAGAGAGAGACAGAGGTAATGCAGGGTATTTGCTGTCACTCTCCAGCAAAACGCGATTGCATGTTGTTAGAGAGAGATAGCAAATACTCTCCTACACCTCTCACTCTCTCTCTCTCTAAACCTCCGCTACACTCTCAGCCACTGGGACGCTTTCTCCAGTAGTTCTCTAAAGTTTAATTTACGTTGGTTACCAAGTATAATGGTTAAAAATAGACTACGTGTAGCCAATCTAAGAAATGTAAATAACCCTTAAATTGCCCAATTTCAAAATGAAATTAAATCGATATTTAATGACATCATAGACCTTGTTAATAAAATGACATCAATGTCAAATATCAAAACGTAAAAACAAATACATAGAAATCTGTTTTTTACGCGCCAAAATAAACTGTTGCTGTAGTAATTAAATTAAGTGAAAAGTGGATTAACACATATTAATACTAAACGGTTTATAAAAGTTATAAAAATATGGATAATATAAGAGAGATTGTTAACGGTAGTCAATTGAAAGGATTCATCAACAAAAAAGTAAGCATCACAGGCTTTGTGACTGATAAGGCCCCCAATGGCATGTGGTTCGATTTAAGGGCCGCGGACGATGAAATCGTGAGAATTTCATTAAAGAGACCGCTCGATAAACCACTTGAAGGATATGTTGAGGTATAGAACTGAAAAAATTCTTTTACTATGAGCCAATATATTCTTTTTTAGGTACATGGAACTTCTTCTGGGAAAGGAGTTATGGCAGATGAATTTATTATATTTAACAATGAAACTTTTGATGCTAAAGCTCACAATACTCTTTGTACTCTTCTGTACACGGTACCCAATATTTGGAATACTTCTTAGAAATAAGATATCTTAGGTGTTACTGTTATTTACCCATTATTGTTTATTTTTGATTTAATAAGAATTAATAAAAACATTAAAAGTAATGGAAAGAAATGTATTTATAATTCGAAAGTTAGGTTAGGCTATGCTGATTGTGACAGTTGCTTGAGTTATTTTTTGTGATGCAACAAGCAACACTTGGTTGTGTTATGATTTTTACGTCGTAAAATATGTTAAGAAAAATGAGTATATAAATGTTTAAGTACTTTATAAATCTTAAAATTAAAATAATTGCAAGGAACATATGACTAATTGAATGATTAATGAGAAATATACAAGTAGTATTTCTTATATAATCGTATTGAACTTATTCTGCAGTATGCTGCTTCGCGAAAAATAGTTTTATTCATAGATTACAGAGAGTTGTTTTATTGATATTGCTAACTTCTGTGACATATCTGTCTGGAAATTTCTCAATTCACTAGTTAAAAATAAATCATTAGATTTAGCGACCAACGACAAATATTGATAAAATGATTGTGTCTCGATTAACCACATTAGTTAGATCATCAAATTTACTTCAAAATTCCATTCTAACCAAAAACTTAGTGAAGACCGCAACGAGCACAAAACATGGTGTAATCCTACAAGAGCCCCAGAAAACTCGCTTTGGATTCCTCAAGATGATACTTACTGTTGTATCTGGGCTCCTTATCGGTGCTGCCATTAGTAAAAATATTGCCAATTTCCTGGAAGAGAACGATCTCTTTGTACCCTCAGATGACGACGATGATGATGATTAGGACAATTTTTAGCATCATTTAAATTAATTTAATAATAAATTATAACCAGTGTTGTGCTGTTACTTTTTATTTATATAATATAGGCATATATTACATTGTGCGCTAATAAATAAGTACAAAAACTGTTAAGTATTGCTTTCTTTTAAGCATAATTATTTTCAGTTACTTGAAAAAGGCTGTAGATATATTTATGCTTTATTTTGTAAAAAACCCTTTCGTAATACTGTGAAAACCGTTTTAAAAAAAAATGTTATTAGTCATATTTATATTTTTACTCGGGTGGCTTTTTATGTGCTCCCCATCCATGGAAACACTTAGTAAAACGTCTCGATTCCTTATTCTTCAGTGTTAAAAACAGCTTTCTAGGCCTATCAGGCTGTTTTGCTCTCATGTGTTGGATGTACACCTAAAAAATAACTTGAAAGTAGAATAGTTAACAAAAATTACCACTTCAGGGGTACCTGTGCAGATTTGTATGCCAGTTTTATTTCAACTTCGCTGCATTTTGCTCCCAACCACAAAAATATTTGCTCACCGTTATCCAAGATCATGATATCGTCATCTGCCAAGTCATCCTAAACCAAAAAAAAAATAAAAAATAATAAAACGGATCAATTTCAAGTTGAGAATTTTGAAAAATACAAATTCCAAGAATTTTACCTGACAGAAGTCTGAGCATTTCTCGGACACAATGAAGTATCCCTTCTCGTTGGAACACCTGAACAATCTTGTGTATTCCATGAAAGTAGCGTCTATGTCGTACGGTTTTTTACCACTCAATCCCAGCCAGAAGAAGTTGTCTGGCTCTTCTCCTTCAGACAATACCTGTAAGGTTACCCAAGGGCTGTTGAACATATCCTCAGCGATTTCCTGAATTAATCTCGCTTCGTCTGGGTCTGACTTTGAACCGATCCAGACATATACGATGCCAGAATCGTCTTCTTGCTCGAAAGGTACGTTCAAAATATAACTGTAAAAATATAAAATTATATAAACGCAGTGTTACAAATTCTACTACATACCAGAATGCTGAATTAAGCATTGAAGCGTCGGGCCTGATCTGCACCAGCCTCGTATAAAGTGCGCTACCATTCGATCTCAAATGGTAAAATTCTACAGCCTTCGTATCTTCCTTCTGCTTCCTCTTTCCCTGTTTAATGATAAACTTTCTCTTGAAGTGGGCCATGAACTTCATGTTTTCTTGTTGCTGGTACGTGCGAACTACTTCCAACTTATCTTGGAACAGAGCCTTGAACTTCTTCTGTAAGGTAAAAGTGAACGTAAGCCAACCCATGTTGGAGGCGTCCCTGCCTTGCCAGAAGTAGCAGACCCATTGGAAATCATCAGTATCGTCCACTGGGACGGAATCGTCCATGTCCTCCTGGGGCATCCAATAACGGCACAGGAACACGTAGCAGTCCATGGAGTAGAAGGTGCCTTGAAAAATACGTTTGAGAATAGATTCATATCAAATGGAGTATTCTGAACGTAAAATACTGCAAATTTATTACCTAACTCTTCCTCAGGCAACCGTACAAACTTCTTGCCTTCTAAAACAAGTGCCTCCATGGCCTCTAGGTCTTCGTTCCATTCCTCCATCAGTTGTTGAGCCTCGCTAAGAGGCATCGACGGCTGTCTTGGAGTAAATAGAGCAGTCAAATCCGCTTTGGTCTCTTGCTGTTTCGCCCATTTTGTTAGATCTGCACCTGTCTTTTGGACAGATTCTGCGGTACGTGTGAAATCTACGGCAATCACTTCGTCCCAACCCACGAATTTGGATTTAAAAATCTAAGAAAATAAAAACATAGCAGTACATCTTTTAGGCTAAAACTACTACCTGATGTTGTTGGTCTTACAGACTTTGTACCTACCTGTGATTCAGTTCCTTCTCGTACTCTCGTTACTAAAGCATACTCTGGTCTGTCAATCATATTAAAAAGCTCTTCAGAAAGTTTGACAGCGGCTGCGTTAACCAGCCTTGTGGACTTCTTACCAATCCTAAAATTGTTTTCAATAATTAGTCAGTAATTTTCTAAACGATCTAATGCTGTTGGAACCACTGCATTGGTTGCTATTGGGGTCAACATAAAATGATTTAACTAAAATTTACTTCCATTTCTTTCGTTTAACTACTAGAAGACAAGGGGGTTGTTTCGGGAAATGGGGGAAAAATGTAAATATCTTAGTTATTTACTAGAAATTGAGGATGTAATTCAATGCTGCACAAAACATGTAACTCACAGAATCATAGACAAAATAGACTGAACTGTAGAGGCAAGCCGGTGAAGCCAACCGTCAGCCAAATCTCGGCCCTGCCAGCCTCGCGCTCTCAGTCGCTGTTAGACATTCGCTGTGTCAACATTGTTACTCTTTTATTAAATATATTGTATTCCTTTGTGCAATCATGGGACAGTGTATCGTTGACGATTGTAGTAGCAGATCTGATCGCAATAGTAATGAAATTTCATTCTTTAGGTAAGTAATAATATAAAAATAACATTTCAACAGCGTCGCGCAGCATTCTCCATCTCACATGCACTTATTTTCAGTGTTGGCTTCATGTTTTTTAGTGCCCACGTTATTAACTGATGTAAATATACAGGCTCATATTATCAACCGGCTATTTACAATTAGTTTTTTGTCACAATTGGTGTTTATTTTCATGATGGCTATTAAAAATAATTGTAAATATTGAACCCTCAACCTATAATTTCAATAATAAACATACGTTAATGTTAAATTACAGGTGATTATTACTGAATAAAATTGTATTATTTCCCCATTTTCTTGTGTTAGAATGTTGTGTTTCATGTGTTAGAACTTATTAGAGCTATTTGCGAAAAATATGTAGATATAAGAATAAATCACGAAACAAAAATATTTAACTCTCTAAAAGTTACAAAACGACATGTACTAAATAAAGTTACAATATTTAAAGGACAATAAAGATTTTAAAGTAATGTTAGAATTTTATTTTTTATCCAAATTTTAAAAATCTTAATAATAGCTTTAGCAATTTTAATGTTTATATTCGTATATTAAAAATATATGCCGTTACATTTTGCATTAGTTAAACTAATTTTATCATTATGTTTCAGAAAAATGACAATTTAAGAAATAGAAAAAATAATAATATATTTTTTTAATAACTCCTATAAAAACAGTACACTCAAGCTACAGAAAAATAAAAGTGTGTATCATGTATTAAAAAACTTTTTGAATGTGAACTTATTTAAAAAATATGAATAAGAACTTGTGAAGACTGTATGTGAAAAGTATATCGATGTGATAATAAATCATGAAGTTAAAATATTTAATTCAGTGAAATCTACTAAAAGACAAATATTAAATAAATTAGTATTACTTAATGGACAATAAATATATTTAAATTATTTTGTAGGTTTATTTAATATAAGCAAGACAAATTATATTATTTTCTGAATTACAAACTTGAAAAATAACTATTTGTCATAAGTATAAAAATATTGCCTTAATCCGAACCTGCTCAAAGTATGCGCGCTCAGATTACTTCACACACTCCACTTCCCCGCAATTTGGCTTCATCGGTTACCGTGCTTTGGGATAGGAAACGTACACTCTAGGTGCTCTGTGCACAGAATAGTTGTTTATGCCCAACATTAGTTAAAAATATGTGAATATTGTAACACCCATTATATTTAATTAAACTACAAGATTAACACTTACCAGACAAAGACATCCAAATAGCAGTCTAAAATGTACACATTTTTGCTATTTAATAGCGTATTGACTAATTTACCATGAGACACTTCGACTTGTGGCAATTCCAAATATCCCATTCCTAACTGAATTCGGTACAACCGTGGTGGTATGGGTACAAAGTTGGGATCAACGTGTTCCTATAAAAAATAAATAGTTCATAAAAAAGTTTGCTTCTTATTAAAATTTGTACAATTTGAGTATAGCCAAATGTATCACTCACTTACCTTGGGAAGTTCTTTTGGGCGTTCCCCATCAGGTTGGCCCAGACCCATCCAAAACTCTTTACTTTCATTACCCGTTGTTTCGCTGATGATTTCTGCCTTGTTTTTACGTTCGTTCTTGTTGATTTTTTCACACATCAACCGCGCCTTAGACTTTAGAGTGTTCTTGGCACTTTTGCCATTCCAGAGATAAATTTTCATGCCCGTATCCAAAATCAAAACGAAGCATGGGTCAAGAGAATCTATAGATACTGCTACGGGTTCCAAGTGAATCGATGGGCCTGATGGGTGAACTCTGTAAAATCTGGTATCGAAGGTCTGAAAAAAAAATGGTAAAGTATGAATACTTTTCGTTCATATAATTCTTTTTTGGTTATACATTGTCTTCGACTGTGAAGAATCCACTGCATGTTCTTCCGCCTTCAATGTAAGTAATCTGAGCATCAAAAAGTCCCAAAAATTCTTCTGATTCGTCACTTTGTTCTTCCCTTATAGTTCGACATTGAGCTCCAAGGTAATTCCTTAAATTAACTGCATGAATTGCAGAGCAAGCTCTTTTATCCAACTGAAAATAGAAAAAAAATGTTTTTTATAGTTTTTAAACATATAAATATTTCAGTTACTGAAGCTTTCTCTCCTATCCAAAAGTAAATTTCCCAAGACAAAGACTGATTTTCATCTAATGTAGTTTTGAGGACGATGTAACAGTCGCCTTCATAGAATTTTCCATACGCCACTTCATCTATTCTGTTAGGTAGGAAATTTTCGATTTCCCAAATGGTGAGACCCGGTACCTGCCCAGCATCTTCCTCAAAAATCTCAGAGTAATCAAGAGGAGGTTTTTCTAAAGTTTCATCCCAACGTTTTGGCCTAAACAAAAAAAAAATTATCTGTTGTATAATCAAATTTATACAAAAAACCTTACTTTAATGACACTGCTTTGGCGTCTTCTTGGATGCTTCTATTTTTTTCTTTTGCAATAGCTTTCATACCCTATAATGTAATAGTAAAAGTTAATCATAAAAACGTTTCAATGCTAGATTACCACACCTTTAGTATTTTCGCTTGATCTTGATCGGCCTCCTCATGATCTCTCCTTCCTCTTCTCAATCGCATTTTTCTTGCTATTGGGTCTTTGCTGGGATCTATAGAATAAAATTTGTAAATTTTCAGAGTCAAACGTTGTTACAAAAGAAAAGCCGATTGTCGTTACAAAAACTTACTGTGTGCCGGTGCTGGCACTGGTACATTAGCTCCAGCTAAACGCAACTGATTTTGCAGAGAAAAATCGATATTATAAAACTCGATTCCAGCACCTCTAGTCATTTCAACAGGTTTAGGTGGCATTATCAACTCGGGATTGTCCCTTAAATCTAAAGTTACTAAATCTGTCAAGAGATGAATAGCGTCAGGAAGAGTTATCAGTCGATTGGAGCTTAAGTTCATTTTTTTCAAAGATCCGCATCTGAAAATCATTTAACAAATAGAATTCTCAAGAACACTTAAGTATTAAAAATTTACCTGCACAAACCTTCTGGGATCATTTCAAGCTGATTATTGGATGCAGAAAACACTTCCAAGTTGCTGAGCTTTCCTATACCCGAAGGAATTCCCTCAAAATCTAACTGGTTATCATTTACGTATAGTCGCCTTAAAGCAAACAATTTGCAGAGAGATGCTGGTAGAGAAACTAATTTATTACGGGATAAATTTAAGGTTTCCAATTTTTGCCAAAATTCCATTGCTGCAATTAGAAAATTAAAAAAGTTTTACGTTCATTCTGAACAAGTTAGACAAATATCAACTACCTGTCGAAAGTTCAGTTATTTCATTATCGCTCAAATTCAGTCTTTTCAAATTTGACAAGGAATATAGAGCTTCGGGAACTTTCGGCAAAGCGTTTTCTGCTAAATCTATATCAGTTAAATTGGTCAGATTTTCCAAATTGCTAGGAAAGTTGTTCAAGTTCCTCTGTGTGTTTCTCATATGTAAAGTTTCTAAATTCAACAACGATGGCAATTGTCTTAACTGGAAATGGCATAAAGGGTTGTTGTTTAAAACAAAAGTCTGTAAATTTGCAAGTCTCCTCGTTTGGGGTGGAAGAGTCTCTAAGTTGTTGTCACTGAGGTCCAGAAACAACAAATCGGTAAGGTTGATAAAAAGGGAGTTTGGAATTGAATCGATACTGAAACAAGTCATTAATGAATCTCTAAAATAAGATTTAAAATAAAACTTACTGGTTATGACTCAAATTTAAAACTAATAATGATTTAGCCTTATCTAAGCCTTCAGGTACTTCTTTGAGGTTGTTGTGACTTAAATCCAAGGTACTTAATTCTTCCAAATGAAACAGCTCAGCAGGTATTCCTGAACTTTTCACTTTATTGTGTCGCAAATTTAGTGTTCGCAGACAATTTAATTCAGTTAGTTCCCCAAACAACTTTTCTAAGTTGTTTCTGGTGAGGGACAGATGTTCCAATTTCATCAAATTTCTCATTTCTTTGGGAATTTCGCTCAAATTCGTTCGATCTAACTTCAACCATTGCACTCCAGTCATTGAACTTACCGCATCAGGAAACTTTTCGCCCTTAAAATAAAAGGACAACAGTATTTTAAATAGTAGTTCCAAATTTGTAGAACTTACACTGAAGTCATTTCGAGTGAAGTCCACTCCTCTAACGAAGGGGAGTACCCCAGTATTTGCCATTTTTGTCGGTTATTTTTCTTTGAATGTTATCCTTTATTCAGAAAATCGATTCGTTTCTTTATCATTTATCTTATGGTTCCTAAATTTGATCACATATTTTTGTTATTACCTCAGAAATGACACAGATTCTAACCTAAACGAGTGACCTGTGATTAGTGACGACAGAATACTTCTTCTTCTTCTTCTCGTTATCACACTAAAGTAATAAAACTAGGGATGAAATCGATAAAACTGTTCGTTGGCTGATTATTGGTTTGTTCTATTTTCATTTTTGTGTTCAAATAATAATTTTATCAGTGAATTTGAAAAATATATTCTATTTTTTTTTTCTTGAAAACAGAAGTATTCAGCTTGTCGCAGACTATGCTTACAGTAAATAACAAATATGGTAACGTAAATGTAAACGAGTTATAGAAAAGAGATTTTTAAGTTTTTGCCATATATATCTCGAAAAATAACAAAGTAATGGATACTTACAAAAAATCAGTCGATAGATCTTTTTAAAACCTACAACAATTTTTTGATGGGAGCTATACTTTCTTCGTTATTAAAGAAAAACCGTTTTTTGCAACTTTGACCAAGTTGAATCAAATTTAAAGACAAGAAACTCAATTTAAAATTTGATTTCCTATACAGTCATATATATTTTTTTCCAGGTAATAATTTCCATAAGTACTTCTCTATAATGCGTGGATTATGCTAGAAGGTTTAAAACAAAACTTTTTTGTCTACATATACTTTGAACTAACTTTTAGTTTTCCTACCATAAACATGTCTATTTCAAAAAAGGTATAAAAAATGCTTGTTTTTTGTTAGATCGTAGATTAAGCCACTAAAGATTTAGTTGACTGACGTCGGACGGTTTGTTCCTGTTCCGGTGGAACAGTTGCACATAATCAGATACTTCTTTAAAATCGAAAAACAGCTGTTAGTAATCAAGTGATTTATTATATTTAACACTAACAGTATTAAATATATGATTTCGTCCATACCTCTATAATACCTCAAAATTAACTATTCTCAGATTTACAATTTGTACAAAATACAAAGCACAATTGGTTCAGAAATACTTTAATATTTTTTCTTGTTAGCAATAAATAAAAAACCACGTCTACTTTATTTTTCTATTATATAAACATTCAACACATTATAGCATTAAAAAACGCAATAACATACAACTGATTGTAATTTAGTTTACGTAATTACAGCCAATTTTACAATCCCGTTGCACAAACAAAAAAAACATGTTAAGTCTATAAAAGCTTTCTGGCTTTTATCTTTGTTGCTGAAGAGGGGGTAAGATTGGAGGTGGCACTCCTCCAGAAATCGCAGAATTCGGCCCTAAGAGCAACTAAAAAAAAAAGAAAAAAAATTGAATGAACACCTCATTTAGTTCCTAAACATTAAATAGAATGTTTCAAACTGCATTTTTACCTGTTTCTGTTGGTTTTTCTGCATTTCCTCCATTTGTGCTCTTTCTACTTCAAATATTACTGGGGCAAACAAAACAATTGAAGTGCTAAACACTACCCACAACGCACTACGTGAAAAACTGTATGCTAATTTTATCCCTGCTTGTGTATTCACCACAGTGGCATATGTTGCGTTTCTAACAGATTCTGGGAACATCTCTGTCAGCCCCCACAGTCGCTCTGCCAAAGTCTCATCTGGCTAGAAAAGAAAACGTTTCAAAATAAAAAACAGTGCACTTTTATTTACTTCAGATATCAGAAACTAAGACATATTACAACATCTAAAAGCTTCAATGCTTTAGCTACCTATTGATTTCCATAGGTTTGTTTTACTATTCTGTTTAAAGTATCTGGTAGTAAATATTTACTTCTACATAATACTGGACCACTATTGATTAAACTTTTAGCAGAAAGCTCGTGAAGTAAATATTTAAATATGTATAAAGTACATATTTAAAATGGAGAGGTGTGCGAAAAGTGAGGTTATGGTCAAAAGTTCAATGTCGCAGAAAAACAAATAACTTATAATAAATATAAATTATAAATCTATGAGTCTACCTCATCGTCGTCTCCGTTGTCAATTTCGGGCTGTTTCTTTTCCTTACTGGTAAAATCTGAAGTAGTGTCTTCCTGATCTATTGATTGTGACCCTTCCTGAGATTCCATCCCGCTGTCGTTATCCTCTACTGGTGCCATAAGACAGGGGTTTGGTTAATTTTTTTGGTTACTTTCACGGCGCTAATTCTATTTTTGTAAAATATTTTACTATAAAAAAAAATTAGCACAACACCAAAATCGAGGCAGGAATTTTTAAAGCGCATGAGCGAAATGTGAAATGTGACGTTTGCTTGTGTGTGCGTGCTAACATTTTTCCATGAACCGGGTTTTTTAAAAGTATTCTGAGCATTACTTACATTTTTCGGTATAATTTTAAGAATGTACCATTTTTGACATCTAGTTAAAATTTCATATTTGCAATTTTTGACGTGATTTTATTCACTTACAAACCGATAATAATCAATTTTGATTAAATTTAAAGCTGCATGAAAGTGTGCCAGTGTCAAAGGTAATTATTTGAATAATTTATGTCTCACAATCAGGTTTTAACTACTAACTTTTTAAAAATTGATTAAGTACAAGAAAACTGATTTTATTACTTTGAGTAAACCCTCCAATAAGCTTATTAAGGAAATAAAACTATAAAGTCAATAAACTGTATCATGTAAGTGTAGGTATAGTAGAGCTAGGTACTTACTTAAAAAATATCTAAGGAATACCAGTGAACGTTAATGGTAGGTAGGTACTACTAACTCTGTAACTTATATAAAACAATTGAAAATTTGTGTAAGTTTATTTACGACTTACAATCTGTTTAAAAAGTAAAATAAATTAAAAATTATATATGACACACAGTACCTAGTCCAATCGAATTAGACTTTTTCGAGAACTAATTAAAAGAGGGCAGAGCTGAGAAAGATCCTTATAAAAAGGATCTAGATCAAAGATATTTGATCTTTTTTGAAAAGTATCTATAGATCATTTTAAAAAAGATCATTTGACATTAGAAAGATCTCAGATACAAGATACTTTTCTTTTTACAAAGATCAGTATCTTAGATCATTAAATATGATCTAAGATCAAAAAAATATCTTAAATCGTTGGAGGAGATCTAAGATCTAAGATTAAAAAAGTAGGTAACTTCTCAGATCATTTAGAAAACATAAAATCTTAAGATCCAATCAGTGTTACCAGATCTCCTGTTTTAACAGGAGATCTCCTGTTTTCACTCTCACTCTCCTGTTCTACTGTTTTCACAATGAGATCTCCTGTTTTTAGTCTCAATGTCTATTCTTCTGGTTTCTCTATGAAATAAACTGTTGATTATACTAATTTTCCTCAGAATAAGAATATTTTAGTACGACGCTGTTCTCTAACGGCACTCTGTTCGTCACTTGTTAATATTTTCAGTCCTGTTATATTTTCTGTAGTCGAGTTCATGCAAGATCTTTTACTGATCTTGCAGTTCATGTACATATTTAAATTTTAAATCCGCAATTCGCGTTTATATGAACTGGGCCTAAAAAGGCGTTTCGTTTCGTTCGTTTACTTCAGCGGGATTCTGGGATTTTTTATTTTGACAAATGACAGTTGTCAAATCACGTGACGTACCGATGTAATTGCAAACTATTAAACGAACTCCTACAATTATATATTATATAAATATAATATTTTGCTATATTTTGTGCATGTGTTCCTCTATTAAAAAATATATTTATTAAAATCTCCTGTTGAAAAAAGAAATCTCCTGTTTTTTTGGCTACATTTCTACTGTTGACAGAAATTTCCATCTGGCAACACTGGATCCAATGAATTGTTGGGCCATTGTCAGTTATTGGATTGGAATTTATGTTAGACAAAATATTTATTTTAATAGAACACATGCTGGCAAATAAATTTTTAATGGAAGTACCAAGTACCTAACCAATTGTTGGAATGTCACTGAATTAGATACTGAAATGAAACTATAACTATAGGTATAGTCAAATATTTAACATTTACCTACTAGTATTCTGTTACATACACAAAATAATATTATCAACTCAACTCAAAAAATATTTTCTAACAATCAGTAAATTTGCACATTATTCTTATGTACATAATGAATTTGCCTTAAGTAGAACTAAATTTTCAAAATTTTTATCAGAAAGTATACTTCGCCTGGGGGCATTAATATAAAAGTAGCAAACGAGAACATTCTTTCAACTCAAGCTGATAATGCCAATGCAGTATTAAATTTTAAAAAAAGTTGCTTAATATAGGGATATTTGTCTAGCATTTGAAGAGATCATCTTAGATACTTTTCAGGATCTAAGATCCTTCAATTTAGATCATAAGTTCAGATCTTTTTCAAAGGATTTTTTATAAATAGATCAAGATCTAGTCCTTAAAAATGTATCTAGATACAAGATCTAAGATCAGATCGTTGATCTTAGATCATTAAAACGATATATTTTTTTAAGATACTCCCAGCTCTGAAACACTATACTAATCAATAGTATACTATGCTCTGAAAGAGGGTATATTATTATTCAAAAATTTTCGGAAGGGTGTCAGGATATTAGGACAATAGGTAGTTTCAGAGCAGTTGCCGGTTGCAGAACATTGTTTAAATAAGAAAACTTTAATACTTTTTTATAGGTAGGTATTAAAAATACCTACAAAATGAGGTGCCCTGGATTAAAATTCCTGTTATAAAATATCCTTATTGAGACTAGACAACCACAGTCAACTGCCATTTTGGCCAAAATCTCTGTTGTCAACCTTGAAATATGTATTTGAATATTCGATATATTGTTACGCAATAACCTAATAACTTGATCTAGAGCAGGGTTTGGTAAGTAATTTTAGGTGGGGTCCGGATACTTTTGAAATTGGTTAATGAGGTCCAGAAAAAAATTAATATTTCTTACTAATTTTTTATTTTCATTTGCATTAAGAACTCAAATCAGTCACAATTGTAAAATACTAGAAAAAATGATAAGGATGGCACTCAAACGTAAAAAAAATATTTTTTAAATTTATATTTTAAAAAAATTTTTGGCGGTCCAGTATTTTACCTTCCGCGGTCCGGATCTGGACCGCGGTCTGCCAGTTGCCGACCCTTGATCTAGAGTACCACAGCAATTAAATTTTGATTTATTTTTTATATAAATAGTACGAATTGGTATGTTAAACCGTTTTTTCGGTGCAAATGACAGCAATCGATTGTGGTACTTGGTCATTCTAAGGACTTTATAATATGTGCCTATAGAGTCCCTCGATATTGATATATAAAGTAATCTGAGGTAATCTAGTTTTCCACTGGCTCCTTATTCCATTCTGTGCTTATTATAATTTAGAAAAATTTCAGTTATATTCAGTATTTTATTGATCTTTTAGTCCATTGTTTATTTTTTTGTTAATCTTCAGTTTGCTTAAAAAGGCGTTACTCATAATGATTGAAATTAAGAGAATGAATGAATGGACCAATAAACTACAATTATGTAGAACTACTTTTAAAACAAATAATTATGATCAAATTTATCTGAATTAGGTATTTAAATTTCTAGTGCTGAAAAAGATCTATGACATGATAAACCCTATTTTATTATATTAATTAGGTATAAGTTTGAAAAATTATGTTTCAATGAGTTTGTGTACCTGTATGGTACAATAGGTTTTATACTATTCTACTGCAGTCATATTTTATCACATATTAATAATTTTTTAGTTAACTTGTTTATATTTTCTTCTTTAGGGCCTATTATATTGGTATTATACAATGTTATTATTATTCTATTAGATCGAATAATAGGTACCGGATGTACAGTCTTAGGTTAAAAAAATAAAGATGTGTATTATCACTATTTATTCAATAAAAGATATCTTATACATATTCTAACTAAATACAATAATCTATGATATACATGTCGAAATTGAGAGAGATGAGATCACAATAAATGATCGGATCGCTGTTATGTGTTATTTAAAGTTGTTTCTAAGTACACCAAATGATTAGGGAAAACAAGGAACCTAGTGAGGCCAAATCTGAGGGAAGGGGGGAAGCTCTCGCATGCATCACAACAAATTTTGAGCATTGATGATAAGAACGAAGTGAAAAATGTAACAATAAATAGAAATTTACAACGACTACTTAACATATCTAAATGTACCTGATTGAACAAGAGCAAATTACAAAATGCGTGCAAACGACATGGGCGAGCGGCTGAAGAAGCTGAGATTCGATTAGGTTGACTATGTACAGGGCGTTCACAGAATGGAATCCATAATTTTCACAGAATGTTTTGTAAAAAAGTGTGACTGAACATTTTTCTCTTTCATTTAATTTTAAAAAATTTGAGCAAGTAGCACTTTTTGTGTTTAATTTTAAAAGAAAACATTAAAAAGTACAATTTCAATAAATAAACATGAATTTTTTATAAAATTTTGAATAAAATTTATTCTACCTGGGAAGATTGTTTTCTATGGCTTACTTAATACATTGTTAATTTTAACAGTTACATATCACAGTCAACTAGGTTAAAAATAAAAACCTAACGTTTGAAATTTTGAAAATACAGAAGATTTTTGGCAAATTATGAATCCCATTTTGAGAATTCCATTTTTAGAGGCAGGAGTTGTAATTTGCTCTCAGAGCAATTTATAAAACTTGACATGGACAAAATTCCAGAAGGCAGTCTGATATGATTCCTACTCCTTGACGACTAGCTATGCATCGTTTATCATAAATAATCTTAAGTTTACAATGATGCTAAAATATAAAAAAATTAGAAAACACTGTATCAACAATTTCAATGGCAAACTGGCCACAATGACAACGTACGCCTACTTTTTTTTTGTTAATATGATATTACAAAACCTTGTGTTAGAATATGCTGGAACATTTCTCGGCAAATTAGGATGGAATACAACTTCCAACAATGAACATCGATGTAATTAAATAATCACTAAAACTTGTGCAGATTGGGCTCCGTTGGGCCAAAGTCTTCACTTGAACCTTTTTTGGCACTTCACTAATTTAAAGAGTCTTAGCTTTGTCTAGTAGATCATTGATGAATTTCTGAAACAGAAAAAAATGCCGTTAGATGTCACTGAGAAATCAATAGAAAATATTTACTACCACAGTGTAACAGATCACTTGTAAATGTATGTATTTTTTTGTAATATTTTATATGACCATATTTTCAAACAAATGCAAAAAATGTTATTGCTAATTTTTTTTAAATAAAATCAAACAATGTTTTTCGATACCAGAAATCTAGGTATGCAATATACCACATAGATAAAGATTTCTAACTGCTGATATTGCGGGAAATAACTCTATGACCGATATGCCTCAACTAACATTGAATTATACTCCCAATAACCAGTAAACAGCTGGTAATAATTAACAGCTAATAATTATCCAAAATAAAAACTAAAAATAAGATGTCTATATAATTAATACCAAAACACACAACTGATATAGGTACTGAAATTGTTAAATAATGTAATCAATTAAAGAAGTATCTTGTATGTGTGTTGATGTTCTCTCCCATCTCCCTTGACAAGACGAACATGTATAAGTATATTTATATTTCCACATTTAATTTAGGATAGTTTCGTCAGACAGCCAGTGTCAAAAGCATTATTGAATACGACTACATTATAACATGGATTGTTTTTTAGCAAACTAATATTTGCCCTGTTTAGTAATGTTATCTTTAAAACTCATATACACTAGCCACAGAAATTAAGGAATATTAAAAAAATCCCAAAATTTTGGGTGACTTTCAAAGAGCTGTAATTTGGAAAATTGAGGATTCAAGTGTCTAGTTTTCGAATCTGAAGTTTAAAATTTTTTAGCGTCAGCAGTTTTTGTGTAATCATAAGAAAATCAACGAAAAAAAAATTGCAAATTTAAAAAGGCCTATGGACTTTTTTTTCACCATAAAGTTCTCCTAGATAATTTAATTCTCTTCAGTTTGAACGGTTCCGGAGCCTTGTAGGATGAATTTTTCGAGTTATCGCCGATCAAAGCAAAAAAAAGTGAAAAATTACTTATTACGTTGATTTTTAGCAAAAATTACAAATTTAGAAGAAAAAAAATTGCAGCGTTTTGAAATTAGCAGGGTTTCTTTAGAACACTTTGAGGTTGAAAAGTTACAGTCAATATCCTTAAATTTATTCATTATTTGCAAAGTTATGCCAAGTTATTCAAATATTCCTAATTATGCAATTTTTTACCTTTTTTTTAACCAATATTTTCACTTCGAAAAAATTAGTTTTTATCAAAAACCAATAATTACGACTTGTAGAGAATACTTTGCAGTTTTCAAATCTGCTTGGATTTTTTGTACGACAGTTATTTCCCGAGTAATTGATTGACAAAGTCAAAAATGATTTTTTTTGCTTTGATCGATAACTCGGCGAAAAACGTACAAGGCTCCAGAACCGCTTGCAATTTTTTTTTCGTTGATTTGCTTATGATTACTCAAAAACTGCTGACGCTGAATTTTAAACTACAGATCCGAAAACTATACACTTGAAGCTTCAATTTCCCTTTTTTTTTATTCTCTCTACTACCATTACCCTCCAAATTACAGCTCTTTCAGATCGGCCAAAATTTTTAGATTTTTTTAATATCCCTTAATTTCTGTGCTTGGATAATTATTTTTTACTAACGGTTATAGGTATTGCTGGGATATGAGGCATGTAGCCCATAGAGTAAAAATGTTTCCTGTAATATACTCGTATGCAGTTAAAATATAGTAAAAAATATAAAAGCTAATAGAACATTTATTTTTTAAAAAGAAACTTTCCAAAAAAAGGCCAATAGAATTTTGATACTGAAATCTTTATACGAATTCGCAACTAGTGTAATAAGCACCTAAAAATCAATAAACTTTTGTTAAAAAATAACATACAAGATTTCTCTCGAATTGTAATTTTTGAACTCATAGGGATATATAATTTTATTATTTTTTTGCATAATAACATATAAAATGAAAGGAATACGTAGGTACTTACTTTTACTTCACTTTGGGAACCTTTGGCATTTATAAGTAAATTCTGCAAAAAAAAAGATACAAATTAATATTCTGGTAGCTTGACAAAAGATAGTTATTATTCGTTGAAATTAAATAGAAACGATTTTTCATTTTTATGAGAAAGGGGAAAGTAAAATTGCCTCCATAATGAGGGGTTCTTTGACTTGTATAGAAGATAATAACTCCCATCTTTGTATCCAGAACTTCCCTGGCTTTTACTAGGCGATAGCGCTTTCTGATGAACCGTAAACATTATTGCAATGTAAGAGGAAAAGGGTGTTGCACGCCGCGCCGTATGAATGAACTGCCTTGTGCAGGGGCGGCCTCAGACAACGAAATAATATTTGCAACAGACGTGGCATACAAGTTTATTTGATGTTATGGTTTTTTAATGGACAGGGATGCAATATTTTACTTTGGCACATGCATAATAGATACTAAATTTTCAGTGGTCAGAATTATATTATATTATATTTCAAATTCATTCTATTAGCTTTACAGTTCTTCCTTATTTTCAATAATACAATGCTTTTTTGACACTGAGGTAGCCATTCACATACGTACAGTTGTACAGATTCTTACATGACGTCGCCATCTAACTATTCTTACATATAAATATTGAGTTAGAATTTGAAAGAAACTTTGATCATGTCATAGAAAACATTTTTTCGTATATTTACTTAAAATATGTAAATTTGGCAACATTGTGCCATTTTATTTCACAAGATGTATGAACAGTTTGTATACAGGGTTTTTCACGTAACCCGTTCATTAAAAGTTTTTGAACTAGTTACAATAGAAATTTGACAGCTATATGGGTTTAATTCAGTCTTTTTAAATGAAATATTTTCAAGTGTGGGGTACTTCCGGTTTCGCCGGAAGTGACGTCATCTCCGTGATTTTAAATGGAATACCCCATTTTTTATATCATTTATCGATTCTAGGCGTTATTTTGAGTAACTTTATAAAGAAAACTTCATACAAACCTGTGGCCTAAAATACTTAGTTTTCATTGTAGAGGGTATTCAATGTTCTTTTAATATTTTCGAAACGTTTAAAGATAGCCCAAGAAACGAAAGTTATATAGTGCCGATGTGTGCTTTTACCCTTGGGGTGGATGCCACCCCTAGGGTAAAGGGGAAGGTTGGGAATTTTTTTATTAAAAATAACCTCACGATTCGATAGAGGGACGAATTCTAACTCCCAGAAGTTCGAATTCCGAAGATAGCTATATTCGAAACGTTCAACGTACTGTAGCGGAAAAATTAAAGGTTTTTCGAGGAAAACTTATACATATAACACCTATTAAAGTTCTTGAAAAGACCTTTAAATTGAGTGGTGGTAGAAGTCGTTAGCATGAAAACTAATGAAGTTACAATCAAAATAAAATGATGGCCTTGATTTTTGGGAAAAAAAATCGGTATTAAAATTAATGACTTGACGGAAAAAATATTAAACGTATTCCTTTTGCAATTTACTTTATTTATGTATTAACAGTAGATTCTGGGAATTTGAACGATTTTAGAAGCCTAAATTAAAAAAAAAATCATTTACTTTGGAATAAAATTTTTAAATTTTTTAAAAATTCGCCTTTTTCAAAATATTTGTTATTAAAAAATGATAGAATAAGGAATTGTAGGTTTTTTCTTACTGAACAATTTGCTTTTTTTTTAATTTTTGTAGAACAAAATTTGACTGAGTTATGACCGTTAGAAGCTCAAAACTAAGCTCCTAGACTGCCTTTCCTGAACCCTTTTAGCTTACAAATCTAAAAAACGAAGGGCTCAAAAAACTGCAAATATCTCCACCAATCATTACGCAGACTTCTACCTTTCATAAAGAAATGCACCCTTTTAAAAATTTCAAGTTTATTGACCACCGTGGCAGCTAATTTTATATTATAAGGTGTAAAAAGTTTAGTACATGCACAGATTTCTTAAATATATCGTTAAACTATATTATACTACGTTTGTATGAAGTTTTAAAATCGCCATAGCCATCACTTTTTAAAATATCCATATGTTGTTTTGGAACACCCTGTATACTGAAAGAGAGCTTTGTTAACGGGCTCAGGCCGGCCCAGGCGTATTCGCAGGGTTGATGGAAAAAGGCGGCATGGAATCGTCGGGGTCGAAGCTCTCTCTTTCGACTCCCTCATCTCTCAGACACAAAACGACCAACAGGCGACTGAATGAACCCCGCCGTCGGCTGTACGCAGCCTTTATGCATGCACGTTACGTGACGGGACTGCAAAACAACGCATTAATTCTCTCATTGTGATGATAACGCATTCTCGCCGGACTTTTAACTAATTAAAATGTGTACCGAGCCCCGACCAAAAGTCGAATATCGAAAATTACAAGCCGGCCATACAACGTGTTTAGGTGATAAATTTAAGTGACAAACTTAACTAATAATATTGTAGGAAACAACTACTATGGGGGCTACATGTCAATACGAGGTCTGTTCAGAAAATAACCGAACTTTTTGAATTACGCGCTAATGGAGATATTTAGTGATATGCAATTGGCAGCACTGCGTTGCGCATAACCTCTTCTGTAACCGCATGCTCTTGGATTGTTGATATCTCATTTAGTTTTCGTGATATTGTTATTTGAGTCCAACGTGTTTAAGTGTTAGTGACGATTTTCGAAATGTGCAATTTTCTGGAACAACGATGCAAAGTAAAATGTTGAGTTAAACTGGGGAAAACTTTCACGGAAACGTATCAGTTTTTGAAACAATCTTATGAAGATGATGCTGTCGGTCGCATGCGATGATACGAATGGTTTTACGATTATTTAAAAGTGGTCGTTATTCAATTTAAGATGATCCTCGACCAGAAAGGCCTTCGACTTCAGGACTTCCACGTTTAGAAAATCAAAGATCTGGTGCGTGCAAATCGCCGACCTAACTCTCAGAGACACTGCAGAAGAGGTAAGCATTTCAATTGGGTCATGCTATGAAATTTTGACTGAAAAATTGAACAAGCATCGAGTTGCAGCAAAATATATTCCTCGATTGTTGACCGTCGAACAACAGAAAGAAAATCGTGTGGAAGTTTGTCTGTAACTCTTTGAACAATCCAATGATAATGAAACATTCATTCAAAGGATCATAACGAGAGACGAAATCTGGGTTTATGGCTACGACATTGAGACAAAAGTTCAATCATTACCATGAATTGGCAAAGGATCTTCACGCCCCAAGAAAGCACGTCAGTTTCGATCCAATGTCAAATTGATGTTCACTGTTTTTTTCGACTTTTGGAATTCTTGCCTGACGTTTTACTATGGTTACTTCTCATAATGCAATAGGTGACATGTCTGATGAAAGATTTAGCTATTTGGATTTATATCTACCGACAATATTATTAGTGTGCACTGCCCACCCCAGAAAAAAAATAATCCAATAATTTCATAGTACATATTAGTAGGTCACTCTCTGCCACAAGGTACAAAGCAGTACTTTTTTCACAGAACCATTCGAGGTGATAAAGCTTAAAAAAAATCTGCCGTTTTTTATATTTTTCAAGCGACACTTGTTCAAATTAAAGTTGGTACACATCATACCTGGATAGGTAGTCTTAATGTGTGGTACCATCAAGTCAACTAAAAACCAGTGGCGGAAATATAGGCAATTTTTTCCATAAATATTCAATTAAATGAAGGGGGTTTCTTGTCTCTTGACAATTTTTGATATGTCACAATTTTACAACTTCAATTTTCTATTTAATATTACCTATAAGTAGCTATAAATAATTTACTATTCCAAATTTCCTCTATCTACGGTAAACCGTTTTTAGACAAATGTTTACTAAATTCGAATATTTTTTCAAATTCCAACACCGCGTGTACTGGAACAGGAGCCTAATGTGGACATCCTTTTATAAGACTTTTTTTTATTTTGACCACCCGAATTCAAAACTGAGGTTTGGTTAATTAATCTTGGAACGCCCCGTATATCATCTGTTTTCAAAATAACTGTGAAACGTTTCTAAAGGCAGGTATTTAAATGATGGTCTCGAATCATTCTGTCGATACTTCCCCTCCACTCCCAACTACTTGATTAATTTGTAAATAAATGCTATATTCATCCGCATCTATTGTTTTCATGGCCCACTTGTTATTTTATCAATGTATGTATGTGTATGCCCAGCGTTCCATGGCCACCTTCTCGGAAAACATTAAAATTGTCGTCACCGTAAAACAAATATTAAGAAGCACGACGGGCTTTTGAAAAAGAAAATCCTAAACAAAATTCGAAGCCGTAAGCATTTTATACAGGGTGACCAAATGAAAACGAAACAGAGACATTTTCAGGAACTGTGTCAAGATTGTAGAAAAACGCGTAGACTCGTCAATTTTAGATTCAAGGGGGACATTCTTTCTGGTATTTTTGACTCCGTCACTTTCACCCCCAAGCAAGGCTAAGCATCACCCCGAAATATTTAAATGGCATTGGGGGTTGATCAATATTTCTTTTGAAAGCTCTTACAATTCTCTTTACAACATACTTTAAATTTTATAATTCCGCCCAATATTTATTAAGAATTTTTATTTTAAAGTTGAAACTTATGTACAAACAATTAGTAACGGTAAAAATGTCAGTCATTCGAGTTAAGTACGCCAATGGTATAAATTTAGTATTTCTTGTGTTACATTGGTTTTTGGCGATTTGTTATCACTTTCGTGAAAAAAAGCACAATTGTAAAAAACAGAAATGAATGCTATACACACACACAATGAACGTAAAATTAGTGGATTCCAAATTATATTCTAGTATTATTTGGAAACGTTGGTTGGTAGTTTATTTAATTGTGATTTTAAAAATTAAACACTATGGTTTATTCCATTGCGGAAAGGGTAGATATCATTTCGCTTTACTTTATGAACAATAAATGTGCGAATAGAACAGCTCATCTAATTTAATTTAAACATCAAGATCGACATGTCAGGAGGAAGTATGTTCTAGAGTTAGTAAAAAAATTTCAAGAAACAGGGAACGTAGCCAATAAAAAACGAAAAATTGAAAAACCTATAGTTAATGAAGCTAGTGAAGTTGCAGTTTTGGGACGAGTTCAACTTGATCCTACATTAAGTACGAGGCATCTGCCATCTGTGTCTGGGATCAATCGAACTAGCATACAAACCATTTTGAAGAAGAATAAATTACATCCATACAAAATACATTTAGTACAGGAACTTCACGAGGATGATTATGACCGCCGTTTGCAATTTTGCGAAATAATGAGTGAGCGAACAGGGAACGATTCACAATTCCTTTTTAACATCTGTTTTTCTGATGAATGCAGTTTTTTCTTGAACGGGACGGTAAATCGTCACAATTGCCCCTGTTGGTCCGATTCAAACCCAAAAGTTTTTCACGAGGTGCATACACAGCAACCGGAAAAATTAAATGTATGGGCTGGAATTTTCGGTGACCGGCTGGTGGTGGGTCTTTTTTTTCTACCTGGTAATTGCAATTACTGGAAGACGCTATTGACCCTGCCTTGATTGATATTATTGAATATGTTCCAGAGTATGATGAAGATCATTTGATTTTTCAATAGGACGGTGCTCCTCCGCATTATGCGTTAATTGTTCGTCAGTATTTGGACCAACGTTTTCTACGGAATTGGATTGGGATAAGAGGCAGCATTGAGTGGCCTCCACGATCACCGGATTTATCGCCCCTTGATTTCTTGAGTGGGGATACCTAAAAAGTAAAATTTATAAAACACAGCCAGCGTCGCTGGAAGATTTGCGTCAAATAATCGTCGACGAATGCCGTCGGATCACTCCGGAAATGCTTCGGATTGTGCGCGAACGTTTCGAACAAAATCTTTATTCTTGTATGGAGGCGGGCGGTCATCAGTTTGAACATTTAATCAACTAAACATAATTTAAATTTTAAAATGTAATTTTTTTTTCAAAGTATTGGACAGAATTATAAAATGTAAAGTATGAGCTTTCAAAAGAAATATTACTCAACCCCCAATGCCATTTAAATATTTTGGGGTGATGCTTACCCTTGCTTGGGGGTGAAAGGGGCGGAGTCAAAAATACTAGCAAAGAATGTCTCCCTTTAATCTAAAATGGACGGGTCTGAGCGTTTTTCTACAATCTTTACGCAGTTCCTGAAAATGGCTCTGTTTCGTTTTCATTTGGCCACCCTGTATAGAGTACCAATATTATGTTTATTTTCCCAACGTTATTTTGATATATTGCGGTATCACAACATATTGCGTACAAACAGAGATTACATCCGCATTTTATGTGACTAACCACGGTTGGTGGCAACCAAAATGTGATAACAGACAGGAAATATCATCAAAAATCCGTTAAAATCGCTTTAATATTTTTTCTGGAATTACTCACAGAAAATATTTATCTTTTTAAGTTCCTAGTTCAATTCTAATTGAGAGGTTGGTACCACAAATTAAACTATCAAGTCACTGCACCCAAATTATGGATGAAAGACAACTGTTGTTATCTAAGACAAGGGTTGCAACAGGGGACGGTGGAAAAAAACAAGAGAATTTACGATACTACCTAAAACAATGACTTTTTACACACAGATCATTTATAATGTTGTCGCTTTGTTAGTTAAATATTTTTCATTACTTGTACATATTTATTTGTACTTATTAAAGTACATTAGAAAAGTGATTCTTTACATGCGTTCGTAGAAAAAGTCAAATTCAAGTTCCAATGCCATTAGATGATTCCAAAAATTAATTAAGTAGAATATGACAATGTGTGACACAGCCCTTGGCTCAAGTCATTTTCGCCCAAGTAATCTGCGATTAACGGATTGACCTACTAATTTGTGACACCCTATAGGAATAAAAAAATTCATCCGTTACCATTATTATTAGCACTTATTCATCTCTTGCTCAATCGCAACCAACCGGAAGCACACCTGGTACGCAAACAAGAACTCACCTGTAAATGCCTCCGCCGCTCCTCGTCACTGTCCATATCTAGGAGTTCATCTATATCCACCTCGACCTCGTCACTATTTACATCGTCTACTTGCTTCTGGAACAAAGAAACGACGCTTCAGTACCGGCTCATTATGCAAAGGTTAATTACACGTGTGAGTAATGGGCCCGCATTATATCATTCTCCGCGTCTCGTCTCGAGCAGCTCTTCACCTTGAGGAAGGCGAAGAGCAGGCGAAATTACCCTTTCAATGCCACGCCGATAATACGTACAGGATGAGTAATCGTCTATAGACACCAACTTCCGTTATGTCAATTTCCGCGAGAAGGCCCACAAACCTTAAGCGATATTCCTTAGTTAAAAATTATAATACAGGGCTTCGCAGAAATGTCAGCCACATGAGATGCCACGAAATAATATTTTTTAATATCACTCTAAAACTGTTTTGGATAGAAACCAGTGACGGCTGGGATGGGAGGCGGCTCTGGGGGAGTAAAAACTTTAATTTAAAATTTAGTTTACAATCTACATACCTATTTAAATGGGTTAGCCTTATGAAACACATTGAAAAGGAAATATTAATTTTGTAATGTGCAGTCAATTTAACTATAGTCTGTTTGGAAATGAAAGAGAGTAATAAAACCCCGAGATAAGAACCGGCCATGGGCGTGGTAATATTTCGTTTCAGGTAATTATCGGGTAACACTAATGCTAACAGGTAATGGGTGTACATTAGTATATTTTACTGGATACATCATAGGGCAGGAGCCAGTGTATTGTGACAAATCAATCCAGTCTTAGAGCTGAATATACGAAGACGTGCTAGTGCAGTAGAGTAAAATTCGACTTGTATTTAGTGACTATTGTGCCAGTGGATATAATATTGTTTGGGTAAAATGTCGAGCTTATCAGATTACGTACCTGCTAAACGCGTGAAAAGATGTGCGCTGTCTCAGAATGAGAAGATTATTATATTAAATGTATTTAATGCATTGAAACACCAAAATCCTACCAACAGCGTTGACGACATCGTGGAAAAGTGTTCCAAAATGATAGGGATTGGAAAATTGACTATCTACAGACTTTTAAAGGAAACAAAAAATGAACAAGATACTGTAAATCCCCCAAAATCATCTACAGGGAGGTCAAAAGTCGTTAGATATACATTCTTCAAAATAAATATATTTTTGTGTGGAATAAAAGTCTATTCATTAAATTTAAATAAATATTTTCATAATAATATTGAATAATTTTTATATTGTTGACTTATAAGAGAAATGGACCGAGAAATTGAAGCGGCATAGACAAAGACGGATTGTCGGGGATTAAATTTCAGCTACATGCTACAATTTAGTACAACCCGATCACACAAAGTTTTTTTAAAAGTACACCTCATCTACACCGATAATACATAATATAAAAATATTGAATATAAGCACCAGTACTACATTTATTTACGATTTTCATTCATAATAAGCTTTTATTACTCCCTTTCATTTCTAAACAGACTATAGACCAAATTCATCTGCAAAACTCTGAATACATGGGCTCCTCGTAGCTCGCCTCTACATCTGTAAAATGTTTACACGGTGGTCATGGTTACAGTCGTGCAGCAGTGAAAGACGGAGTGGGAGTAGCGCATATTTACTATAATAAACGTAATTTGTTAAGGCGTGGTGTAAAATTTTGGTACTTACATATTGTTTCTTGGTGTTTTTTAAAAAAATTGGAAAAGTTTAAATTGATTGTAGCACTTGCAAAAAAAAATGGTGTGAGAAATACCAAACTTTAATGAAAAAGCAATCGCAAAGTTTATTTCGGACAAAAGCAGAAGAATGGACTTTCACTATAAAAAAATAATGTTGAAATCATTTACTCCATATTTCAATAGTACTTTATATAAAACTATCCAATTCTATTTGATTTTTTTACAATACTTTGTACCTAAATTTCAGTTATAGAAAGTGTCCCAGTTCTTCGGGCCTTACCTAAGTAGTAGAACACCCCGTATATCTCGTTCATTTAAGGTCTACTTGCATTTATGTGGAAAATGTTGATTAAAAACGTTACTTTTAATAGTAACAAAATATATAGAAAAGCCTCGAATATTTCGCAAATTCTAAGAAATAGACTGTAATATACCTTAACAAAATCGAAAGAAAATTGGATTTTTAATTTCAAATTTAACGTGGGGTTCCATTAAAAAAAACAAGTTTCCGTGATCCAAATTTGCAACTTCTAGAACCTATAGTTACTACTTTCCTATAAGAAATGTATTAAAGTAAGTAATAGGTTCTTTCATGCTTGAACAAGTGGTGAAAATTGGATATTGCTTACTTTTACATTTCGAAATATATTATATTTTCGAGGATACTATAAACGGTAATTTTTATTTAAATTTGAAAATTACTAATTCTAATTTCATTCACAACTTCGTAAAACCTAACCTCACAATTGTCTATTAAATTTTTTATTTATTCATGTGATAGAAAATATATATTTTTCAATTAATTGTTATTATGTTTGTAAATGGGCCCTATCCCTATTCGGAGTTAGTAATTTCTTTGTGTTCATCATTCATCAATCATTTCTTTTTTCAAAAAGCTTTAGTTACTACTAGAAAACCGAAAAAGTGCAACCATTATTATGAAATTAATTCCAAAGTCTAAGAAAATACTAAAATTTTACAAGAATAAAGAGTATATTTTTCATAAACGTGTTGTTTTAACGTAATATACTATAGAGCAAGGGTCGGCAACTGGCGGACCGCGGTCCAGGTCCGGACCGCGGAAGGTAAAATACTGGACCGCCAAAATTTTTTTGAAAGTATAAATTACTAAAATAAATTATTTAAAAAATGTTTTTTATGTTTAAGTGCCAATCTTATCATTTTTTCTAGTATTTTACAATTGTGTGAGTGTTTTGAGTTCTTAATTAGTAAGCAGATTAAATTTGAGTCCAAATTAAAATAAAAAAAAAGAAATTGAATTTTTTTCTGAACCTCGTTAAAAATTTTCAAAAGTATTCGGACCGTACCTCAAATTACTTGCCGACCCCTGCTATAGAGCTTTAAAAAGTCATAGGAGTAGAAATTATGCTAACTTCCATATCGACGACATCGGCAATTTAAACACAAAATTACTAGCATGGTTTTATAAGTACCAGATGTAGGATTTAAATTTCTTGGAGCGTTTCTAAAATATTAAAAAATGTTTGTATTTAAGTTTTTTCAATTTGAAGGCTTATATTTAGGAAAAAGTGCATTTCTACATAGACAATTTTTGTTTGTTTTTACTTGAAGAATCTTATTAAACTTTGTGTACTCTGTGTAGAATGAGAACCAAAACCTATTTTTTTAAATGAAACATTGAAACACCCTAGTATGTTGTTGGATAAAAGATTACAGTGATACAATAAATTATGCTTTCAAAAGACTCGACAGACACTCAATGTAATATTTTTGTTTCAGCGTTGAAAGTATTTTCGTTCAAACTGTTGATTGGCTTATTCGAACCAGGACAAGCTGTTCGAGTAACATCCGGTAATTCATGTTATCAGCGTATTTCTCCAATAAAAAGGCTCTAATTGCTGTTTTAAAGAAATCAATTCTAGATTCTAGACTCACACATTTTGCATTTCAATCTGGGGTTGGACATATTGGTTGCGGATCAATGGTAAGTTTTCATCTTGTATGACATTTATGAAGTATAACAACGGTTATTACCTCACTATTACCAACAATTTAATATCTGCAAAATTGGCGCTACAATCCGTTCCAGATTGCATCGCAGACGGCTTAGAAATGTAAACAAGCGAATTGAAAGATAGATCACAATACCAGCTCGTTGTCATGCATACAATCGTTTAACCTATACCGTGGCCTCTTCATAGGAGATCATTACGCATATTGCTTATCGCGACTTATTTAAAATAGGGCAAACATCAATTGCCTCAATAAAATCTGAGATTTATTAAGTCTGGTATGATTCCTCTGCTCCAATAGTAATTGGTTAGTAATTAAAGGCAATTCTAGATATACTCGCACTTAATAATACGACTTGAGACAATAGTAACAATTAATTTTAATGCTTTAATAGATATAGTAAAATGTGTACACATCGTTCGTAATAACACTTTTATTAGTGACTATAAATGTTTTATAGAAGTTACATTATAAACTTCCAACACCGTCTATCACAGAAAGGAAAAATCATTTCCTTAAAGTCTATATATCATTCTATACAGGGTGTCCAGATTATACTTAAAGAAACTGGGAGGGAGGGGTGAGTTGCTCTTGAAAAAATAGTGGGGGTAGTTCATATAACGTTTTCCTCGTTACCATAACTTTAAGTTGTTTTATGTATACAGGGTGTTTTTAAATGAAGTAGCAAAAATGGTACCAGTGAATGTAGAGCCAAAAGTAATAGGAGTGAAGTAAAAATTCCTTATATGAAAGTTGCACCCCTGAGGCGATATATCCTCTTAAAGGAGGGGATTGAAATTCACATTTTAATTTTTTTCTTTAACATGAGGAATGCTAGGGACACGAAACTTGGTATGAGCATCCTACTAATAAAGAGACAACTTTTCAATATTTGTTCGATCATTGGCGTATTTTATAAAGGAGTAAAACAGTCAACCCCATTGCAATATTTTATTAGAAATTTTTTATATGAAGCAAATTATTTATTTAAAAACATTTATTGGGAAGACTGATTTATTGTGCAACTTTTTTATCTCTTGTAATTTTTCGATAAAACCGATAATTTTCTAATAAAAAACTTTGATGCGTCATCGTTTACTAAAGAGGTAATTGCGAAAATTTGTTAAAATAAAGTAGGCGGATGTCATAACACATAAATTGTTATTTATTATATTAATAAATTGACACTTTCTGTCAACCAATAATTAGTACCAATTTTATTATCAGAATAATTATGGCAAATAATAATTATACCAATGACGAATATGAAAAATAGTAACGCTGCAATAAGATTATACCACCAAAGATATCCAAACTGACCGATTCCTCATAGACAAACATTGACCTAGGTGGAAAAAAGGCTTCGCGATCTGGTAAAATTCAGCCCAATCGT